CTTTACTCTGTAGCCTTGGTCTCTCCTCTGTCTATACTCAGACTGTAGCAAGGATCAGAGAAGAACAATAAAAGTAGGACACGTGTTTGTGCACTGTAAAGACATCACCCCAACGGGCTTTTGCCAAGCAGTGAACAGTACGCTTTTCCGTGAAAGGATGATGTGCGTGTGTGTGTGTGATGGGGGCTGGGAAGGGCAGCAGCATAGGCTGAGCTCAGAAACGGTGCCTGAAGACCCCCCACTGCCTGAGGATGTGCCCCAGGGAACACTCCCATCCCCTCCAGCACCCCACCCTCCCTCACAGTCAACCCTCAGGGTCCTCGAGTTCCTGGCAGGGACTAGAGAGCTGAATGAGCCGAGTTCTGATGGTTTTGAGAAGAGTCAGGCCCTGTCTGCTCTCTCTCTGCTCTGTAAGGCCTTAGTTGCTAGAGTCCCTGCCAGGCCCCTTCTCTCCTTCCCTCCCTCCCCCAGCCTCCCCGGAGGGCAATGGCCTAAAGGTGCTTGTGGCTGTTCTCCAAGAATCCACTCCCTCTGGATGGGGTGGGAGGGAGGCCTCCCTGAATCCTGACCCTCATGAGAGGTCTCGGGGCTCAGGCTGTTGCCACCAGGGGAAGGGCGATGGCCTAGAAGGGCCTAGCAGACCCTGGGGGACAGAGCAGAGGCATAAGGACCTTAGACTGCAGTCACCTCCTTTGTACTACTGTTAGGATGCTCCCTGCCTCCCCTTTGCCTCCTCTACTTGACCCTTACATAGAATGATGAAACCTCTTTCCGAGATTCCCTCTGAATTTGACAGAGGACTTACTTCCTGCTTCTCTCTCTGTGCCCTTCGATCGGTCCCGACATACTCTCTACCCACCACCTCCAACCAAACCCCCAGATATACGCCCCCAAATCCTAGCACACACACCAACACACACATGCATGCAAGGGCATCACAGTGAAGTCAGCCTTGCCAACGTTCCTAAAACGAAGTCCACATCCTTGTTCCCAACTGGGGCCCTCTTTCTTCCTGCCCCTCCAAGTGTCCCCACCCCAACTCCCACCCCCACTGCCCCATGAAGGCATCTCTATGTCCCAGTCAGGGAGAGGCCTCTATGGAACAAGAAGGGAGGGAGCCTTTCTCGGGCGCCTATGCCTCAGCACAGTGCTTGGGTAAAGAATCATGGGACAAGGGGCCAAGACTTCACCTTGCACTTCGTCTTTTCCCTGCAACTTGGCCAGACCGGGCCCTGAGTGGAGGAGGGAGCAGGATCTCTGACTGTACACCAGGCCTCT